TATCAATTATATAACCTCACAAATCATATGTCTGTGTTATGTGTTTCCTTCTAAAACATGGCGCGCGTGCTGAAAAACTTCAAAGGCGGCATCTGAGAGTGGGCATTTTGATTGTTTATTATTCTGTGGCAACGCCACGTTTCCTACTAACAAAACTCCCTTCTGCCCGTGATTTTTCTGTGACAAAATTATGACAGATCCATCACAAAGGTGTCTGGAAATTCTATTGTTGTCAGTTTGACAATCGCCATTGAGGGGTACCTAATCAATATTGGACAGATATGAATCCAGACGAAAAATCAAGATTTGGATGCCAGTTGGGTGAATAAATCAAAAAATTCACAGAAGACGATATTATCATATCGTTTTCTTTCACGGCCGCCAAAGCAGGGGGCGCCTTTGTAAGCTAACTACGCTGTAGTGAAGTTTTGGGAGACATTCGTTGGACTTTTCGAGTTTGAATTTCTATCAGCTCAAGTGTCTGATGAGGCTGGGATAGGCCGAAATGATCATAACACTTTAGTGATACCGACTCGAGCACGGGAAGCGAATTTGTCCTCGTAGGCTATATATTTGGCCATTTAATATATATATATATATTAAAGAGAAATTAATGTTGATAAATGTATGCCATAAGGTAGACACGCATAATCAAAACTGCATTTAAATTTAAATCCCAAATTAAACTTACGGGTTTAGTCAAGAAACACCGTTAACGTATTCGAAGAAGTGTTTGTCGATGCGTTGTCGTTTCTAATATCTCTTAATTCTTTTAAATATTATTCAAAAAAGTTAATTCCAGTTTGATAATTTGACATATTCTCCTTATTTCGCGGCAAAATATGCAGCACGTGGGTGAAAGGTCAGAGAGTAGTAGTATTTAAAACAAAAAACTAGTTTTTAGCCCGGGCGTATGACCGTTAACTCAACGAAGATGTTTTCGAAGAAGGTGCTTTATGATATAGGCGAGTCTTGACTTGGAAAAGATACGGCCGGAGGCTGTATATTTACATACTGGGTGATTCACCAACTTTACCAAACACAAACACTACTTTATTTAGTTTGTTTGCAGGTTTAATGAGATTGATTATGAAGATAAAATGGAACGTGACATGGCTTTATTAAGAGACAAATTTTGCTATTAGAAAAAGGTTTACTTGGTCAATTAGCCAATTCGCAATTTCAATTCCAAGGAATATTATTTGATACAAATATTTTAATTTAAAATTGAAGCTAAAAATTCGTCGCTTGAGATATGCCATGTTTAAGCTCGGACAGGATGCTTGTGCTTAACATCAGCAATAGCTTCACCGCTGGATCTTTTGCTTATTCGATAGCTCGTGGACTGTGTTATTATGACTGCGAATTATTTCTTCTATAAAGTAAGTTGAAGGTAACTGCAGGTGCAAACTTCAAAGGGCAAAGGGTTGCTAAGTATTGTTTGGTTGAGATAAACAAACCAAAAACATTTGAGACGTATGCTTAACCACATCCCAAAGATCATATATTGGACGCTTTGGACGAATTAAAAGATGGGATTGCTGTAAATGGCCATCTTATAAACAATATTAGATATGCAGAGGATACAGTGTTGCTAGCAGATAATGCGCAGGGACTCCAGGATCATGGATAACGTTGTAGAAATATGTAACAAATACGGCTTAAAACTAAACTGCAAGAAGACAAAAATAACGATCTTTAGTAAAAACACCAACATAATTGCCCAAATTACAATAGGCGATACACCGTTAGAAAGAGTGGAAAAATATGCTATTTGGGCTGCAATATTAAGAATACTTGGGATCACAGCTACGAAATAAAAACTCGTATTGAAAAAGCCAGATGCTCTTTCAACAGCCTAGGAAGATTCTCTGCAATCATTAAGAATAGAAGACATGCAAGACATAAGAATTCTTAGATGTTACGTCTTTAGTATCCTCAATGGAGTAGAAAACTGAAGCCTTACAGAAGATCCCATAAAACGATTAGAGGCATTTGAAATGTGATGCCACCGACGTATGTTGAGACGAAGAAGTGGACTGCTCTAACGTCAACTGAATTATTTCGAGCTGCTGTGAATAGAATAGATTAGGCACATTTAGAAGTAGAATTATTGGTGCTTTATATATGCTCTGTATTCTATAACATAATACATATACGTGCTTATAGACGTGACGCATGTTTTGTAGATTCTGATCTTATTCTATTTAGTATTATCATTTTGTTTATCCATTCGATGTCTTTAAAATATTCGCGGACTCTTGACGATTTTGTAGCTTGTGTTCCTATTTATTCAAAAATGTTTCTTCCACTTCCACCATCAGGTAATGACTCTTGCTGTATTATATAGTTCCCGAATGTCGGTTTTCATGCAGGAAAAGCTGTTGTGACAAATTGTAGCATAATTTTGTTGTGTTTTGTTAACATTTTCAAAGCGTTTGATTGGTTGAGGTTACGATAAATGTGACGATCAAGATTGAGCAGAATAACACGGACCTATCAAATAATACCAAAAAAATTAAAGAAAAGTGTACATACCAGGCAGGCATACATAATGCAGCTAATCTATGATAACCCGTTTCAATCCAATTTGTCAATATTAAACTGGCAAAGCCAGAGCTGCGAATTGATAATTGATTTTAAATATTCTGTAAAGTTGCTTTTCTGATGTTAGTAAGTAGCCTTTTTATTTCTTGTTTGTTTTTCTTTCTAGATTGTTAACATACTTCATACTGCATCTAATTAATTTTAATACCTGTATTTATTTAACCCATTTGACTAATTTGTTGCTTATGTAGAGCTCTTATTTCTTCAAAGTCTGTTCCCTATGATTAGAACAATCGAAAAATAAGTGATTCAAATCTCAGATAGATTTATTATTACAAGGACAGAAAGGAGTTTCATAGATTCCAATCCTATGCAGATGCTCTGGAAAGAGGCCATGGTTCAGTTTTAGCCGCGTTATTAACAAAGAATGTACTTTATTGTTAAGATTGAAATGGGGAATATTTTTTGGTAAGCATGGGTGAATAGAAAAGTAATGGTTTCTTGAAGTCTTCTGAACCTCTTTATATTTTGACATCCATATTTCCCTGCCAATACTCCTGATAATAGAAAAAAGATCTTTAAAGTAGTAAAAATTTGTAATTTCGGATATCTCAGATGTATTTTTTGCCATACTGTCCACCAATTCGTTTCCAATTACTCCATTGTGTCCTTTAATCCAGAGAAAAGTAACTGATTTGTTTGTGAATTTTAGATCATATAATAATTTTTTGATATCAAGTATAATGGAGTTTTGAAAACTATCTACTGGATGGCTACGAATAGCTTGTAATACTGCCTGAGAATCTGATACTATTACGATGTTCTCACAATAATTAGTGACACACCAAGATAGTGCTTTCTGTATAGCAGCCGCCTCGGCTGTAAAAATAGAACAACATTCAGGAATTCGATATTTCTCAACATAGTTGCTGTTTGAAACAAAAAAAGCGAAACCAGTACTTTCAACAGTTTTTGATCCATCTGTATAAATTATTGTTAAATCTTCCCCTAATTTGCTTAGTATGGATTTGAATATCAGATTAGTTAAAATTTGCAAGTCTGAATAAGAGGGCATTATAATGGTTGGTTTGTCTATCAGAACTTCAAAGTCTTGTACGTAAAAAGGAAATTTTGGTAGCTGTAATATATAAGATTAAAATGAGTTCGTATCGATAAAAGATTCTGCAAGAGGAGAATTTTTTATTCTCCAATAAGGATTTGTTAAATTTTCTGTCAAAAGTAAACCTATTTTGTGAACCATAGTTGTATTAAACGATCTGTACGTTATTAGATGTTTGTTGGCTAACATTTGCCTACGTATGAATAAAGGTGGTTCCTGGGCTTCTGCTAGAACTGCTTGCTTTGGTGAAGACATCATAGCTCCTAGACAAATTTTTATTGATTTAAATTGTATTCTGTCAAGAGTTAATAGATTTGTTTTGCATGTTGAACCGTAAAGAATACAACCGTAATCCAGAATGGATCGTATGTAGGATCTATAAAACATTAAAGAGATATTTTGATCTGCACCCCATCTTTTTTAGAAACGAAACGCAGAAGGTTAATTCCACGCTCGCACTTTTGTTTTACGTACTTTACATGACTAGACCACAAGAGCTTTTTATCTAGGATCATACCTAGATACTTATACTCTTCTGCTAAAGGGAAATTATAATCACCTATCTGGCATTTGCCTGTGACTTTTTGTCTACGTCTAGTGAAACATACAATCGAAGATTTTTCTTGTGATATACTAAAACCCATTTGTTTCACCCACTTATCTATATTACTAAAGCTAAGTTTTAGATTCAACATACAATCTTCATAGGATTTATGGCTGGTATATAAACATATATCATCTGCATATTGAATTATTTTGCATTTTTCATCCATCAAACCATGCAGATCTGCAGTATACACATTAAACAATAAAGGACTTAGAATTGAGCCTTATTTGAGTTGTATTGAGTTGTATTGTATGTATTGAGCTGTATTTATTTAACCCATTTGACTAAATTGTTGCTTATGTAGAGCTCTTATTTCTTCAAAATCTCCTGCAAAGTTGGTATGCTATGATTGTTTCAATCTTAAAAGGAACCAAATTGTAAGAAAGAACTATAACTACATAAACTACAACTTAATAATATTTAATATTGCAATTAATATATACATTTCCACTGTATATTAATTAAAAATGAAGACGCTACAACATAATAGCTTCGGATTAACATTAAAAATATTATTGCCAGTAATCCATGTTTATTGAAGCGAAAATTTATTACATAAACCATATGTTACACATACACCTGTTGCGGCAGCATGTGCCTTGTTAAATTGATTAGGTAGCAATGAAGTGGCAAGAAACGTAATATGCTGCAGAAACTGCGGTATTCTTTTCACTTTTTTGCTAAAATTCACTACGATCGAATATTTATTGTATTTATTTTTTTCAGAACACCATCACCAGTGCTTCCCAATACCTGTTTTCTGCACTAGACAGCAGAGCATACCTCCGATCAGCAACCGTTTTACTTCCTGAATCATGGCCAGATTCGTGCGTATCCTCAGCTATTTTGTCTTCTTCTGGAGAAACTTCTGATGTCTCGATATTGCCCAGTGATCCAGCAAGAGGAAGCATCTGGACCCAGCAGTCTTTGGGCTGTGGACAGCCGGGAGATCAGATCTTTCTAGGATATGAAGGATTGTTGAGGAAAAATAACAATTTAGGTACGTAGAAGCTTGTTAATTTATTATTTTCCAGTTTTTAATAAAACGTCTTTACTCTACTAGTTTACTTAAATGTTTTCTAAATAGTTTTTCAAGAATTATCAACAACTTAAGTAAACATTCAAACGAGTCCACTTTCTTCACATTAATCTTTACAAACTTCTGATATAATTTTGTTCTAATTAATTTCTTCTTTGATCCTCGGTTTAAAAATTAGCATCATTAAAAGGATGGCAATTAGAATGTATCTTGTAAATAGATTAAAACGTTAATTTATTTAAAAGGGTAATCAATCATAATTTGTACGAACTTGTTTGGGAAGTGTTTTATCTTGAAAATATGTTTTATTAAGAATCAAAATTCTACTACTTAAATTGATTGATATCGGTCGGTATTAAAATGCATCTTGGAAGAAATTTCAGTTTAAATTATATCAAAATTATTAGGTAAGGTATACAAATTGTATGTAGTTCATATTGAAAAATACTTTATTCGTTTCTAATTCATTAAATTAAAAATTAAATTTTTATCAAAATGAAATCAAAAATTCAGAATTAAACAAAAAGAAGCGTTTTTAATAGCAATGTCTAAAATTTACGTTTGTTTCTCTGTAACTGTCTTTTTTTTTGACATCTGATATATCATCATGATGGACAATGAAGTACACAATGTTTCATAAAACATTCTTCTTCTTCTGGTTCCTATCCGTTTCGGATGTTGGTAATCATATTGGCAATCATAACCTTGCTCGCTGCGGCTCGAAACAGCTCCGTTGAGGTTTTCTTAAACCATGTTCTTAAATTCCGCAGCCATGATATTCTCCTTCTACCGGGTCCTCGCTTACCTTTGACTTTACCTTGCAATATAGACTGTAGCAGGGAGTAACGGTGCTGATTTCTCATAACGTGTCCCAGATATTGCAATTTTATGAGTTTGATCGTAAACACAATCTCTGGTTCCTTCTTCATTTTTTCTAGAACTTCCTTGTTCGTGATTGTTGCTGTCTATGATATTCTCAGCACTCTTCTATAAAGCCACATCTCCAATGCTTCAAGTTTTTTAATAGTGGCGTCTGTAAGCGTCCATGCCTCCGCCCCGTAGAACAACACAGAGAAAACATAGCATCTCAAATGTCTCATTTTGTATCAAGGATATGTTGTGACTTTTGAAGATGGCGCTCATTTTGTTAAAGACCGTTCTTGCCTTTCCTATGCGGCACTTTATTTCCTGTAAATTGCTCCACTGTTCGTTAATAATAGTTCCCAGGTAACAATACTGTTTTACTCGCTCTATCTGCGTCCCATTAATGTATAGATGAGCCCCGTTTATATTCTCCTTGCTGATAATCATTTGTTTTGTTTTGTGGGTATTAATGTTTAGTCCGTACTGTTGACTGTACTCGTTTATTCTGTCCATTAGCCTCTGAAGTCCCTCTAAACTATCTGCTATCACCATGGTGTTGTCGGCATATCTAACATTGTTTACTCTTTCACCATTTAGAAAGGTGCCTTCGTCTATTCCGTAAAGAGCCTCGTTAAAAATTTTCTCTGAGTACATATTAAATATCAACGGCGATAGGATATATCCCTGTCTAACTCCACGTAGTATTTTTATGTGATCTGTTTCTTCTCCGTTAATTTTCATGTATGCGGTCTGATTCCAGTAGAGTTCTGAAATTATTCTGAGGTCTTTGTCATCCAGGTCTGCCTCTTTTAAAATGTTATCATATAAATATTAAAAATCATATTTTGATGTTGAAATCTGTCAAATGCCTTTTCGTAGTCTATCAAGCACGCGTATACGTCGCAGTTAACGTCCCTGCATCTTTGAATCAGTACCTGTACTCCGAAAAGTGCCTCTCGGGTACCCACTGTGTTAATGAAGCCGAACTGTCTGTCCGATATTTGTTCCTCGCACTTCTTATAAATTCTTCCATGGATGACTCTAAGAAACAGTTTTAACATGTGGCTCATTAGGCTGATTGTTCGATATTCTTCGCACATTTTAGCCCCCTGTTTTTTAGGTATCGCTATGAATTCTGATTCTAGCCATTTATCAGGGATGATTCCTGTATTGTAAATTTTATTGAAGACAGCCGTGATCCAAATTATTCCTTCTTCCTTCAAGAGTTTTAAAAATTCAGCTTCGATATTATCAGGCCCTACAGCTTTCCTGCTTTTCATCCGTTTTATTGCTTCTTCTACCTTGGATTTAAGTATGTCCAGGCCCGTCATCCTCTCTGAAAATGGATGCCTATAATCCGTTCTTTGGTCTTGAAAAAGTGTCTCCAAATATATTCTCCATCTGTCTTTCATCTCTTGGGTGTCAATGATTAATTTTCCATTGGTGGAAATCAATCATTGACACCCAAAATCAATCAATCACCCTCTTGGGTGTCAATGATTAAATTTCCATAAAACATTTATCTATTATAAAGTGTGATGAATTATATTTAATGCATCGATATTTGGTGCAGTTGCCGCATTTGCCGCACCTTCGTTGTTTTTCAATTTTATCCACCAAATGACCAACGTTATACAAATTTCCTCAGCAATATTTTTTACGGATTTTGGACTTATTTAACGTGGCGTTGGAATATCTAGAGCTGTCAGCAGGGCTTCCACAATTCGCCGGTAAAATTCTAATGTGTAGCAATTTAATTTTGCCTACCACGTTGGGTGTCACTTGTCCTCCTCCTCCTAATGGCTTCTCTGTTGAGGTTAGCGATCAATATGTCAAATTTCTCTTTGTTCTGGGCTTGATGAATTAATTCATTTCCTCTTGTGTAGGTCCAATCTCTGATGTTTCGTAGCCAAGATTTTTTTCTTTTGTCCCATACCCCTTTTACCTTCAATCTTGCCTTCTAATTTTACTTGGAGCTGCTCAAATTCCCTATGGCGAATTATGTGTCCTAGATATGACGTCTTTCTAATTTTGATAGTATTTCATTAGTTTTAATGTCCAGGTCTCACAGCCATATAGTAATGGTTAGTCGTATTTTGGTTGGGCAGATAAAGGTTTCTTTATTTGAGGGACTGTGAGGGCTAACTACAAAACAAAGAAATAAAAAAAAATACTTAGATTTTCTGGGCAACAATACACAAAAAGATTCCTAAACTATTTAAAATGGACGCCATTTAAAAAAAATCCTCTTGCTGGTTAAAAAGAAAGGCTTTTCTTTCCTTGATATTGGATACAAAACAAACACACTGTCCCACACAAACTTAGAATGATCTGGATTAACTCATAGAGACGCAAAATGTAAAAATCTTGGGGAGGTCAAACATCGAATTGGGCTTCAGATGATCCTGATGATAACAGTACGTATTCTCCAAAACTCTGCTACTTAATTCTCACTTAAAACCAGGTTTACCTCTTAAAACCTGGGAAATGCTATTTTTCAAATCCCCTGACACAAAATACAGCAGTTTTTTTTGACCTATCACCGAAAAAGATTTACACTTAATACAAGACCTATGTAACTCCTTAAGAACAAGAGAAGCACTGTTTTCCTATAATGTATTAACGCAGAAACGTATAGATACAAATCAGGAGGTATACGTTTGTTTCTTAGATTTTAACAAGACCTTCGACACTGTACACAGCCTTTACAACGCAGTGATTTAGCGATTTCTTTTCGCCGTTTCTTACTGATTTTTAAAACATAAAATATAAGTAACGCTTTTTAGTACCTAGAACATATTTCTACGCTTTTTGATGCTTTATACGATTTTGTAACGTTCGTTTGACAATCATGTAACGCTCTTGCAATATTTTTTTTGACGCATTTGACAGTTTTTCATCAATTTAAACAATTTTGCAACACTTTCGACGTTTTACATATTTTGTTAGCATTTTCAGTGCTTTTTTTGTTCTTCAACGATTTTTAACATTTGCAACGTTTTTGTCCTTAATCTTAACCCATTTGGCAGCGCATGTTCAACTTTTTGACACTAAACATGATTTTACAACGCTTTTTTGGCGCTAACAGCGAATATAAAAAATTACACTACGAGGACTTTCAATTGTTTGCTACTCTCAATTTTATTAGTTTGTAAACAAAATCTGTACAAATGTTACCATTCGTACGGTAAATGGCGGAACCACGAAATTACCTCACCGGTTTTATGAACTATAATATTATTTCCTACCCGCAATTATCTTATTCAACATACCAAATCAACCACACAAAATTAATAGGCAGCAATAGTAGATTCGATGTATAATTATTAAAAATTAATGGCTTTTACAAAATTATAGATCGCAGTGTCTTATATTTTGAACTGTGGCGTACTAAGTATATCATATCGTTTTTTATGAGATATCTAGACCTCGGCGTTACGTAATAATCAAAACGGTCCATTAAATTTGTAAACGAACTGTAAAATTTTCATAGAAATTATTCATATAAGATTTATTTCAGAACTTCTTTTATTGAAGTGAAACAGAAAAAATCATCGTCCACTGCGTTAATTGCGTCCACTGCTGGACATAGGCCTCCCTCATTTTTGTCCATTGTGCTCTTTTGAGCACTTTTCATCCAATTTCTTGATATTTTCTTGAGATCGTCACTCCAACGAGTAGGGGGTCTTCTTTTACTTCTTTTGTCTAACCTCCGCCTCCACTCAAACAATCTCTTCGTCCACCTGTCATCATTGATTCGGGCGACGTGTCTATTGGGCGGGAAATTACTAAGAAAAACTAAGTGCCAAGAGGCAATACCTTTTAATGCAATATAGGCCTTGCCAAATTGATTGAATACCTCATTGTATTGCTTTGACCTGGTATAACACTTGTTTGATTCTGCCAAAAACACGACCGCTAAGAAGAAATAAGTGCCTGTGACTGGGTATATAAGTTGAATAGAATGTAAATTTTGTGGGGCATCCAAAAGCCATTTAGCGCATATGGGGGCTATAATGCAATTTTGATTTTGGCCACCGCATCCATCGGAGGCCTTCCAAATCTGTTTCATTAAGTCGATGAAATAAAGAGGAACTGGATCCTTAATGATACTCATTTTCGGTCCATGTATACATGAAAGTTTTTTCTTTGGGTTGCTTGTTTTTTGACGATCCTTAAACACAGCAAAGGATATAAAAATATACAACTGTCTGCTATAGTAAGCGTTTTGATCAGGGACCTTTGGCAGTACTTGCTTTTTTTGACAGTCGAAGCTTATTGTAATTAAATCATCATTAGTCTCTCGTAGTAGTGAATAAAAACCCTTTGCTCTTAGTTTATGAACGTGTTTGTTTATTAAAAGGTCTTTTTTTGCGCATTATTTGTTTGCTTATCAAATGACAAACAAGTAGAAAATACATCCGTTCATGGTGTACATCCGTAATTGACCCATCATAAAATAATTTTTCATTACGCCTTAAAATCTATTTTTCTTGATATGCAAAATATTTAAAAATGTTGCTTGACAAGAAGCAAAATACCATTTTCTGCTCTAACTAACATTCAACTGAAGGGATGTTTTAGGGGCATGACGATCATCATTTTTTGAGCGTCTTCTTTTACAAAGAGTAACTATACAAAATCTATTAAGAAATGCATCCTGAATTTGTTTATTTCATGAAGCATAACAATTTTTGTGAAAATCAACAATATCTACCATTTTTAAGATAGCACATCGATAAGATTTCGTATTATCGTTACATTTAGGGAAATCTGGCACAGACTGCATAACAAGAGACTTATAAAACTGGTATGGGAGGAGATTCCCACAGGCAAAAGATCACTCGGACGTCCCAGAATGCGATGGACAGATAACATCCAAGCAGATCTCCGGAAAATGAACATTCCATTTGACCCTAGGTTGATGGAAGACTGAACAAATTGGAAAAAAGTTGTACAGTCAGTCAAGACCCATCCAGGGTTGCTACGTGATGATGATGATGATATTCTTATCTTGACAGAACTGTACTGATCTATCACCTCTCTCGTTTCTGTCGTCGAATCCTAAATTTCCCACTTAGTTATTTGTTTTTTCTTTTCTAGCTTTGGCATTTAAGTCTGCTATTATTATTGTGACTTCTTTTCTTTGTAGTTTTGATAGCACCTCTGATGTGTTGGTAAAATTGCTTCTATTTCTTGATCTTCCTTCTCTGCTGTAGGTTTATAATTTGTATTAAGTTTAATTTCGTATTTTTCGTTGTTATTTGTTACAAAATACAACATTATCCTTTCTGTTATTGGAAAAAAGCTTGTAACGTATTGGCATTTTTACTTCACACCGAAATATGGATTGCTTAACAAACAAACTTGATGGGCTTGATGTTTCGAAACCAGCAAAAGAACACTAAAAATTTGTTGATTTTGTACCAAAACGCATTCAAGTTATTAAAGAAAAAGAAAGTATTGAGCGCTAATAGCAAATTATTACCATAAATGCATCACCACACCTTAAAAATTGATAAAACATAAAACAAAAGACCAATAACAATCAAACGCAGCAATTATTTAAAGAAGGATTTCTCCTGTGACAAAATCGGGGTCAACAAATGAACAAATCACAAGAATAGACGTGAGGTTTCTTAACATTAATTTCAATAATGATGATCTCGGTAATGGATAATTTAATTTACAATTATCTCGATTTGGAACAATTGGATATTAAATAAATGTTAACTTTCACGAAAATTACTTTTACGTAAATATTTCAAAGAAATAGTTTCGTCTCCATATCAGATATTTTCAGAGAAATGCGAAAGCTGTAGTTATTTGATAATAGCTAATTGGAGTTAACAATTTCTAAAAAAATATATTACTGGTCTTTTAAATGCCCCATTTTTTTTCATTTGACTATTTTTACTCTATCTAGAATATCTCTTAGCTGATTAAATCAATATGCATCGATTGTTCTTGTTGTCTGTCTCTCTTTTCTATATGCATTTCCCTTTTTTGTTCTAGTGTCACTTTTTTGCTTCAAATTCTTTTTTACAGTTTCTATGTCAACGCAAATGGAGAACTCATCGCTAATCTCTATGCTTTGCTTTTAACGAACTGAGAATTAATATGATGTCAAACTTTCGATGATGTTTATTCGACTGGTGATATCCCTGAAGATTGGTTAAAGTCCGAATTCATAACACTACCAAAAAAACAACGTCCAAAAAACTGTAGCGATTATAGAATGATAAGCCTTATGAGCCACACTTTGAAAATATTTCTACGCATCATCCACAGTAGAATCAGAGATAAATGTGAAGAAGATCAGGATGAAACACAATTTGGCTTCAGAAATGGACTGGGAACTCGGGACGCCCTCTTTGCACTAAATGTATTACTGCAGAAATGTCGAGATCAAAGGAAAGACGTCTTTGCTGTATTTATTGACTATGAAAAGGCCTTTGATCGAGTACAGCATCACAAATTAATTACAATATTAAAAGATAAAGGAGTTGATAGTCAAGACATACGATTCATAGAAAAGTTATACTGGCGTCAAACAGCGACAGCTTGCATAAACGGAAAATCAACAGAAATATGTAAAATACAAAGAGGTGTCAGACAGGGTTGTATACTATCCCCACTGTTATTTAATTTATATTCAGATAGAGTATTTAAAGAAGCGCTGCATAATTTGGAATGGGGCGTGAAAGTTAATGGATTTCTGATAAATACAATCAGATATGCAGACGATACAGTTATTTTAAGTGATGACATGAATGGATTACAGTGCCTTTTAAATGCCATTGATAAAGTGGGAAGAGAGTTTGGCCTAAACATAAACTGCTCAAAAACAAAACACATGGTGTTTAGCTGTTTAGCACATCAAGATGCACGATTATATGTTGATGGTCATATAATTCAAAGAGTGTCCAGTTTTAAATATCTTGGTTGCCATATTACTGAACAACTAGATCCAGATCAAGAGATAAAATGTAGAATCGAGATAGCCCGCACGACATTTTTAAAAATGAGGTCATTCTTCTGTAATGATAACTTGCAACTTTAACTTCGAAAGCGCATGGTTAAATGCTACATTTGGTCAATCCTCTTATAGGGTGTCGAAGCATGGACATTAAAAATATCCACCATTAATCGCCTGGAGGCCTTTGAGATGTGGCTGCACAGACGTATACTAAAAATTCCATGGACGGCTATGCTGACAAATGTGGCAGTCCTTGAAAGAGCAAATGCTGCTCGCGAGCTGCTTGATAACATCAAATGTAGAAAGATGGCCTATTTTGAACACGTAGTAAGGGGAGACCGATATAATATTCTTCAACTTATTATGATGGGTAAAATCGAAGGACGCAAAGGAATTGGTAGAAAGCAGGCCTCTTGGTTGAAGAATATCAGGGAGTGGACAGGAATAAAGAAAGCTGAGCAACTATTTAGAATAGCTCGAGACAGAGACAGTTTCGCCATGTTAATCGCCAACGTCAAGGGGACTTGATAGGGCACGTTAAGAAAAAGAAGAGAATTAATAACATACTCAGCAGACGCAGGGACTGCACGCAAACGAGTAATAGCAATAATACGAATAAAAATAATTCACTCAAAAATAAAAAGTCACCAGGGCCAGACGGAATAACCAACGAGCTTTTAAAACACAGAGGAGAAAGTTTAACCCTAGAGATGACATACAAAAACTAATATTGCGTAGACGCGATATTTGTACTAAGACAAATCACAGAAAAGGCAATTGAGTACAATAAACCAGCACATCTATGTTTTATATATTTGACAAAGGCTTTCCATAGCATCAAGTCGAAGACGTCTTACACCTAGGGTATAAAAAAACACACCAATCAATATTGGAAAATGGAAAAGTCACCAAATGGACGAAGAAGTATTGGCAGACCAAGAAAAAGATGGTGCGACAATATTTAAACAATTTAGGAGGCTAATATGGAATAATAAACAGGCTTTAAAATCTACATACGAGAAGGAAGAAGAAGACAACTGACACCACACACTTTAAAAATATTTCTTAAAGTCTACAGCTTGGAATATTGCATTACTTACTGTCAGAACTTGTCGATGTATTAACAAATACGTGTTAAAAACTCTTAAAAAATAAAAAAATAATCTGAACTGTTCAGAAATAATATGTGTGTTAAAATCATTTCTTGTTGGTATGAGACCTGTAGCTGTACTGTACAGTGAAACTTCGTGTACAATCCCTTCTCTATTTTATAAATAAACACAAAAACAACTTTTTTCTCCGAACCAACCGCCGATTTTATTTAGCTTGTTTTATTGGCGATGGGTATACCTCCAGGCATCAACTTATCCTAAAATTCTCACGTTCCTACCGAGAATGACCATTTTTACTCATCTGTTTGTTTTATTTCAGGAAGGGAACTCGTAAAGGAATTTGCCAAGTACCGTTATGGCGTATTTGACGAAGAAGGGTACCAAAGTGATTCCATCTACCCCATGTGCTACTATGATGATCAAACAAAGCAAGTGAAAGTTACCGGATGCTCAGATTTGCCACTAAAAGATAATGGGTGAGTAAACAAGTGTTTAAAATTTTTTGTTTCGTCGAAATACTTCATGTGTTTGCACTTTGTAAGGGCATTTCTTTGTTATAGGGTTGAAATTAACCTCTATGTGACAGCTATGGTCATTAAAGTTACAATAGTTACAGTACAGAGTTTATTTAGCAAAGAAAATTTCCTTTGGAATTTGGAAACTGGGTATTATTTAATAATATCCAATCCCTTTTTGGATCCATAGAGTATAGTATTAATTATTTCTATGTAGGTACTATTTAACATTTTTGGAGTGCTTGCTTGGTCTTTTTCAAATTTGAGTAGTAAAATGGGTTTTACCTTTATAGGGTAGTAAAATCCCCTGCTTCATTTTCGTATATACGGCATATATACTGATTTTGTCCACTCCTCAGGCCACGTCTATATGCCTTTCATTTTCAATCCAATCGCGTAAATACTCCGTTTCTAATCGTAGATTCAGTGTAGTTTTAAATTGCAACCAGGTTTGCCATATTTCGCCGATTCTGTGAATTATCATAAATAAATCCTCGTTTTATATTCAAAAGCAGTTAACAACGATAATCCTCTACAAGTACCTGCCTAATACTTTCATATGCTTCTTTTTCTCAGCAGTCATCAAACAATTAATAATTTTCTGACGTGTACTGAATAATTTTTTCCATGACAAAATGTATTTTTGTCATGAATTCAATGTCAATACGATCATGAACAAAATTGAAGCGTTGAAAATGTGTGTTCATAGACGAATGCTGAAGATACCTTGGACAGCAAGAAAAACTAATGAAGAAGTACGAAGGAGCGTCAACAAAGATAGAGAACTGCTAAAGACTGTTAAACATGAAAAATGTCTTATCTGGGACATATAGTAAGGGGAAGTCGATATAAAATATTACAACTGATCCTTAAAGGCAAAATAGGATCGGATAATTCTGATATGGCACGCGAAGAATAGAAGAGGACTGAATTATTGTTTTTTCTTTCAATTCACTCGTGGACAGTAAACCAAAAAATATGTTAATAAAAAATTTATATTGTTAAAGTTTCATATTGGAAGCAGTGTTAATAACTTTCTCCAATTTCCTGCTATGATAAGGATTATCCATTAACACAACAGTTTTATGTGGCAAATTGGGAATTAGATCATGTTTGAACCAATTTTCAAAGAGTTTATCATCTATTTGGTCATGGTAATCTTGGCTGTTTTTCTTTGCAAGAAAAGTCACTTCTGCTCTATTAACAAAGCCATTTTCACATCCTGAATGTAGGGCAAAAGGAGGACCATGAGCTTCAAACCTGTAGCTGCTACCTGTCTACCCATTCTTTTGATACCCTGTGGCCTACGTTTACCTGTGATACATCTAAATAAACGATATTGTAGTCTTCTTCGCGGTACCGACAAATAAATCATAGGTAACGACAACGCCGTGAAATTATTTTCTGTTTCTCAATTAAAATCGAGTTTTTACAGCGTTGTTCTTTGTCAGTTGCGTCCCATTGGTTTTTTAAATTGCCCAGGTTTTCTTAATATACAATTTTCCATAGTATTTCATATATTACTAGTGAACTCATTATCATTAATAGCGTTGTAATGTGGCGCAAATGGCAGTATTATCTGTTTTTTTTTCAAATTCAGTTGATTTCTCTCCCGTTTCTTTTCCATACATTATCCGTTAACCATCGTTTTCTCTAATTTTTTTATTACTTATATCATTCGTTGCATTATTCAATGTTTTGTGCTTTTAGCCAAATGCTGTTGTATGACACTTCTGGTTGTATAATTGCTTAAGGTTGCGTAATTCCTGACTTATTTGTGTATGGCATATATCTTAGGTTTCATTTATTATCGTCATTTATGGTTCTTTCATTTTTAGGCAGTTCCATCTGGAGTTACTGATATAAATTAGTGGTCTCTGCTAGTCTTTTTCTGAGAACATCTTTAACTACAGTTCTCCAAGGGAGTTTATTCAGTACATAATCTACCTGATTTTATTGTCTGGTGATATCTAAGTATAATCGTGTGGAAGGATGCTGCAAACATGTGTTAATATGAATTATTCTACTAATCTTAGTACTGAAATCTTCCATAATTGTTGTAACTTTCCTATGTGATAGGAAAATGTTACCAAAATCTTTTAATTCAATAAAAAATCGCAATTTTCATTTATATATTTTTTTCATTTTCAGAGTTTGTTCCAACAAGAACGCCATCTACAACAAAACCGAAATGATGGATGAAAAAGCTCGCTCCAGCATAATGTTTTCTCCAGACAGCCCGTCAGTGTCCATGTTTTGCGACGAGGGCAACCACAACCGCTTGGCACCAACCAAACACAACTTCTTTTGTGAGAGAAGAAGCGTTTTGGACGTCATAATAAGCCACGCGGACTTCGCTAAGAATCCACACAGTTCCTTCACTGGCAACCAAATCACAGACACTACCCCTAGAATTGTTTATAAAAAGCAAAATATTACTAGATATGTTTTCGTTATTGAAAATTCTAAAGATATGATGCTAAGAGAGTCTTGGAGTTATTTAAGGCTGGCTATGAGACAGTGGGTCGGATATGTTTTGCCAGACAATACTGAAATCGGTATGGTTCTTTCTGACCCAACTCAATCTATTAGAGCTTTGAATATCGTTCCTGCTAAAGTAACAAATGACAGATTTGGTAAAGATAACAGAGATAAGTTCTACTCAGCTCTACCTTACACACCAAATGAAAGTATGCAACCTGTGTGTCTACATTGTGCTGTAACGGAAGCTATGAACATGCTAAAAGAAAGAACTAAAACTAATGGAGCAGCCAATAATGTTATAGTTGTAATTGCAACAGGTATGACAGTAGATAATCGTATGAAGTCTACGATAAACGAGTTGAAAAAATACAAAATTAAAGTTGCCACCGTCAACTATCCTGACGTGCTACGACCAAGTACTTTGGGTATGTTGGCTGCAGAAACCGGAGGTACTGATTACACAGTCTTTGAAGAAAAACTAAACGTAGACACTACACTTCTAACTACTTATTTTGATCTACACAATGTTTTGTATGATATTGTTATGAAGTTCAGTGCTAAAACTCAAGTAGATTTACCAATGGAAATCCACAGAAAGGCAATAACTGATGATGGTCGTAGTTCCATTACTGGTAGCTTTATGTTGGATCCTAGTATGGGAGAACCAGCTCAGTTTATATTCTACACGCACAATACTGTTACTCCACTCATTAAAGGATTGAAGTTGATCAGCCCTAGTCATCAAATATACTACAGCAGGAATGACAAACTTATCTTCTTCAAAATGATCACACTTGATGCCAATATATCAGAGGTAAGATTTTTCATTTTGCTTTTTCTTAAGTACTTGTTCAATTCAAAGAGTCATTGTTCAATTTTGTTTTTGTCAAAAGTATACTATGCTGATTGATTTTTTTTTTGTAAAAATACATTTTTTTCAATAAGTTTTATATTTTTTGCAGACTGGTACTTGGACATACGTCGTTGAACCCTATTCAGGAAATCCCCAACCGCATTTCATCCAAGTAATGGCAACTCCAAGATCAATCTTTGCTCCAGTGATTAAAGCCAATTTCAGAACACATCGCAACATCCCTAATGGACCTATTCTTCTTCTGGCTGAAATTAAATATGGAGATGCTCCAATAATGGGTGCCAAAGTTGAAGTGACTGTAACCAAACCTGGTGTTAATGGGTCTTTACCACTGAGAACTAAGATAGAGCTGTTGGACACTGGTTCTGGAGATCCAGATATCACCAAAGGAGATGGAGTTTACACCAAGTATTTTAGCGCTGCTGAATGGGGACCGGGTTTATATAATTTCGAGGTTATGGCTACTGATAATGGAAATACCGCTTATACATGGTCCAGTGGTTCTAAAAGAAACGGTAAGTTCTTTATTTTTAACTATAAAAAATTCATTGATTGGATACTTCAAAGTTTAATTTACAATTCAAGCACCAATCATCATTTTCTTTGCCTTCATTCCTAATTTTATTCTTTTTTGTATCTTAATTTTACATTTAATTCTCATTACTCCAACATTCATTTATTGTTTTTGTTGGACTTTTTGTTTGATCTTCAGCCATCTAGATAGCTCGATAATGATTTGGGTTCGACTTCCAGTACAAAATAAAAAAGTATTGCTAAGATCACCGCTTCAAAGACAGGCCATGGCATTGTAATCTGTCTGGTAGGTACAGCTCCCTCTACACTTAGTCATTCTCAACCCAGCGATAAACTGTAGATCCCGTATATCTATGTACAAGGTACACAAGACAGACATATGCAGAAGAGTTGTTTACAGAGAAAACTGGATATAACACGTTAAGAAGAACAACATTCAGTGTCGTATGTCATCTACTGGTCATGTATTGAAAACTGAAACTTTCGGTTTCGTCTTCCTATTATTGTAACGATAATATTTTGCCTACCACAGGGGCATTAATATAAGGTAGAAAATTGGGGGAAGAAACTATTGGGGGTGGAGAAAGGGCAAGCAAAATAATCGCTACTGATGCGAACGGACACTCAGGGTTTCGTAGGAGAGCTGGGGTCGTGGATAAGTAAAATGGGGGTTAGAATGGGGCAACTACAACAAAAAGAAATAAAGGGCTCTTGGGACAAACAGAATAAAAATAAACAAGAAAACACCTCAAGAACTTTGATTATAGGGCGCCACTTGAGGTGCCTAATTATGCCTATTACAACCACTAGTTGTAACTAGGGAAATAATTAGAAAACAAATCAAAACATATCTTTTTCAAATAAACTCAAAAAGGGTTAGCTTAAAAAAATAAATAAAAAGTTAAGACAACAAAATTTAACATTTAATTATGTATACCACAAACAGTTACAAAACAATTCAACTTTATGGTTATGTATTAATGTCGAGAAAGGATAATACTAACTGTCATATATCGAAATGAAATATTAAACCTTTTTGAAACATTAATTTTAATTATAGCAGTCAACTTTATTTAAAAGAAAACTAATAGGACAATTAGCTAATCCATAAAATTTATAATTTCATTTATTTACAATTTTTTAGTTTGTCATCAAAGCAAATTTTTTTATTATTGAAAAATTATTTATTTTTACTTTGAAAAGTAATTTTTAATTTTAAAAGTACCTGGTATCACTGACTGATGTATTTCCTTTAAGAAAATTTTGGAATCGGAATTGAACCAAAACACTGCAAAATATACAACTGTGTCCCACTTAAGCTGCAATTCAGTCTGAAGTGACTTATGAACACAAATAGACAATTCTTTGGAAGTTGGCCACTGGAATCGGCTTCGGATCATCCTGAATGACAAAAAACTGCAATCTTCAAAACTCGCCCACTCAATTTCCTCCCAAAATCATGTGAACTTCTTAAACGGCTGGAAACGCCGTTTTACAAATCTCTCAGATGAAACACAGCACGAACAAATCGGTGGTTAACTCAACAAAAAAAACTGCCAGATCGCATTTTGAGTAAAAATTCACTTTTCAAATTGAAAAAAAATCCGGCTTGGAAGACTACACCCGCAAGCTATTCCGAATCTCAATTCCAAAACTTGACTGTTTTCTTTGTCTCGGTTTACTCCACACTGCTACTATTTACACATTTTTCCATAACAAAAATGCAATAACGAATTAAAAGAAAATCCGGACTAAACAATGAAACCGACTGACTTTGGCAGCGATTCCACCGAGAGTGACGAAATTAAAAATTTGTTCGCTTAACTTGAAAATCAACGAACTGCTGAAATAGCAAAAACAACGAACGACGTAGATATCCTTTGAAACGCATTTACATGAAAAGAAATCGCCGCAGTAAAATAAACAACAATTAAATGGATTTATTACTCTACGACGTTAGAATGATTGAAAACACTTTTCGAAAGATACGAACTAAAAAAACAGAAAACATTCTTCGTTTTATTAAGACGATTTCATATACGAGGCGACTTTAAATATACTTCAAAGAATCAATCAAATTTAAAATGCTACAATACCCCCACGTAAGAGCGAAAACTGGACTAACAGGAAAAGTTTTCGTTTAGGGCGAACAACAATCAGGTTGGAACAACAGTAGCATTTTTTAAACTACTGCAACAACACATAATGACTTCAATAACTCAAACAGAACAAAAAACAACAAACAAAAATCATAACCAAAACTACACATCATAACTGTTTATGGTTCTAACATAATAACATACAAAATAAAACTGGATGCTCAATTTGACGAATCGGCACCAGGTACAGTTCGTTGGCTCTTAAGCACAACGACACAATGGCAGATTTCTACTAAAATGGCTCTAGCCTAACCAAAAACGTGGAACAGACCAGTGTTGAAGTTTCTGGGAGCGAAAAGAGGGGTGCTTCCAGCTCAACAAAGGCGGGTGGCCAACAACACAGCTTAGACAAGCTTCGCTATGGTTATCCACATAATAGATAACCAAAACAATATCAAAAAATAACAAACTTGACTATAACAGTCAAGCAATGAATTTTCAACCACTGGTTGAAAATTAAACCAACACAAAAGAAGAAAACAGGATGGCCAATAGTTCCATAGAAATATCCTCTGGGATCGACACAGCGAAAAATTTCCAAGTCAGGAAACTCCCAAAAGGACAAAAGAAGAAAATAAATCCAAAATGCTAATACACAATCTTGGAAAAGAAGAAAGAACAGGGGCACATGGCATACAAGCCATAATCAATACACAATCAGTTCAGTCTCAAACTAAATACTTCCTGAAGAAACAAAAAAAAACTCGTAACAGTCTTCCAAAGAAAACAAAAAAGTTACGACAACACTTCAAAAGAAACAAAAACATCATTACAGATCTCCAAGGGAACATAAGAAACACTATAATCTTCCAAAAGAACAAAAAAATCATTACAGTCCGTCAACAACAATAAAACTTCCAACTGGGTACACAAATCTCAAAAGCAGGGCAAGAAGGGTAAAGAAGAAGAATAAATATACACAAGGCAAAAACTAATGCTTATCTTCCTTAAAAGCTCAACAGGTCACCTGGCGGACGAATCCAAAACTCATCGCCCAGCCGTTCCTCTCATGACAACTAATAAGGTCAAAGACACAGTTTGGGAAGGGAATAAAGGGACAACATCAAGAAATAAACTTCATCACTTCACCGATAATAATTGAATACAACATCTTCATACAAATCAGAAAGAAAACGTTCACTATTCTTCAACAAAACTCGAACAGGGTCACAACATTAAGTCTGGGGAATTCTAAGTGGGTCATTCAACGGTAGTACTAGAAAAACTTCAGATGTTTCTCTTACATGGTCTCACAATCGACATAAACAAAATTTTCACAATAAACGGCGGCAGGTACTTTCACCTCAGCAAATCAAAACGTCACAATGGACAATGCCAGTAATTGTACCTCCGCTTCCACCAAATCATCAACACTACATCACAAACACTACAACAAGAAGGAATGCTATTGAGACTAGGTCAATAGTCTTACTTCAACACTTAGAAAGGCTTATCCTTTCTAATATATCACGGAAAGGGGATGCTGCTACGCAGTCTTACACAACAACAGAAATATCCAAGGAAACACAAATCCAGGTCACATGCCTGTACGTCCTGTATGATACTTCAAAAACACAATACTCAAATCACAAACTAACACATTTTAGACCATCAACATAACTTCACTACAACATCTGACCACACAAAGACACGGAAAGACACAAAACTAACAGACAGAAAAAACATCACAATACTTTCGCTATGTATTCTCAACAAATCGGCCTTAGCCAGGAATACACGAAGTCGTATGATTACTCTCTCTTACTTGTACACAAAAAAGAACTAGGGAGAAACACAAGACTAACAGACAAAAGAAAAATAACAATACTCCGCTTTGTCACTAACAAATCGGCCTTAGCCAAGGACAAACGGAATTGTATCATAATTTCCTCCTAATTATAACACAGAATAGGAACTAAGAAAACACGGAGAAATACGGAAATAACAAACATAAGCCAAATAACAATACTCCGCGTTGTCACTAACAAATCGGCCTTAGCCATGGACAAGCGAAATCGCATTATTACTTCCTCCTACTTATAAAACAAAAGACAACACGAAAACACATGGACTGATCATGGACTGTAAAATCAGAAGCATTTTCCTTTTCGGGGCTTAAATAAATTTCACACATTGCCTGGACTAATAAACTTTAAAGATACGAAAAAATTTGACCTATATTTTTCGTAGAACAGCTGATTTCTATAAGATATTAAGACGAAATAGATCATTTATAAACACTTAAAGAAAGGACAGCGTCTACATACGAAATAAATTATTTCGTTAACGTAAACAAAATTCTTTTCTCAGACATGAAATGGTACTTAAGACGAACAAGAATAAACAAACTCGATATCGTTCACATTTTAAATACCGGCAAATAAGGAATGACATCATTCCAAATACGTATTTTTTAATTCACAAGGAAATAGACGAAAATTATTTCTACATAATTTTACGAAAACTGGACATAGAAGAAAATGGAAATCGTAGCAGTTAACTTGGAATAGAAATAGACTTGATTTAACGAAAAACTGGATAAGGCAAATCACAATATAACTGAAAATACAATTCGAAGCAAACTCAGACGAACTTCACATACAGGGGGGGGACAAAAATACTGAAACAATGTTTGGGTGAAAGCAAATACACAATGTATACAAAACAACATACTCGATAAACTTCACAAACAGGGTGATACAAAAATACTAACAATATTGAAAACTTGACTTTTGAGTGAGCTACACAAAATAACACAACATAAAACACCTTGCTCTTGTTCTGAAAACTAAATGAGACTGCTCCTAGGCAAAACTAAACAGCACCTCCGATCACGAGTATTACACTTGTCATCATTCAGATACAAGACAGGAAACACAAAAGGGGACTCAGGGGATCACAATCTCCTATTAACCCGTGGCATTACATACGCCGTCAAAGCTGGTTAATTAGGGGACAACAGGGGAACACAGGAAACTACTCTTCACATTCACAATCTCCTACTAGCCCGTGGCATAACACAAACGCCGTCAAAGAGGGCTTAGAGGAAACAATGAAATGGCTTAGGACAAGGGACAAACAACAAAACACAACTATACTCATCAGCTCAAAAAAAAGTCACTCAAACAATAAACACATTTACTCAAAATGACCAGACAAAACAAAATTACAAAAACCGATTTTTCTGTAAGAAATGTCAAATCAATAAAAAATAAATGGCACAATAACGGTACACTTAATTTGTTACTGTAAATAACTTAAATTCTTTTCAACATCAAAACATTATTTAAAATTCAATTTAAATATTCAAACTCAAAATATTTGCTTTCATTTACCAATACACAAAAATAGATATAGAAAAATTTCTACAGTACACGAAATAAAAGATACAACATTACATATGTCAAATACAACAAATACATCTGTTGATATACAATAATACATATGTCAATACAAGAACAATACATAAAAAAAAAATACATATGTTGATACAAATACATAAACAAACTGTTTGTGGGACACCGGGGCACTACTCGGAAGGCAGGGTTTCATAAAAATGGCAGAAAATTATGGCAGAAAAACTGAAAAAGATATGTTGCTTCTGGAAAAGGGACAAAAACCTAAAGATGCAGGAACATTCAAAAGCCTGAAAAAGGCCCCACGCCAAGGGCGCCATTTTTGTAACGACAGTACAAATGGCGCAAATCTAAGACATGCCACACACGTTGGGCGACATTTTTGTAACGATAGGTACTAAAATGGCGAAAATCTAATACAGGCCACACACGTTGGGCGACATTTTTGTAACGAAAATATTTTACCTACCACAGGGGCATTAATATAAGGTAGAAAATTGGGGGAAGAAACTATTGGGGGTGGAGATAGGGCAAGCAAAATAATCGCTACTGATGCGAACGGACACTCAGGGTTTCGTAGGAGAGCTGGGGTCGTGGATAAGTAAAATGGGGGTTAGAATGGGGCAACTACAACAAAAAGAAATAAAGGGCTCTTGGGACAAACAGAATAAAAATAAACAAGAAAACACCTCAAGAACTTTGATTATAGGGCGCCACTTGAGGTGCCTAATTATGCCTATTACAACCACTAGTTGTAACTAGGGAAATAATTAGAAAACAAATCAAAACATATCTTTTTCAAATAAACTCAAAAAGGGTTAGCTTAAAAAAATAAATAAAAAGTTAAGACAACAAAATTTAACATTTAATTATGTATACCACAAACAGTTACAAAACAATTCAACTTTATGGTTATGTATTAATGTCGAGAAAGGATAATACTAACTGTCATATATCGAAATGAAATATTAAACCTTTTTGAAACATTAATTTTAATTATAGCAGTCAACTTTATTTAAAAGAAAACTAATAGGACAATTAGCTAATCCATAAAATTTATAATTTCATTTATTTACAATTTTTTAGTTTGTCATCAAAGCAAATTTTTTTATTATTGAAAAATTATTTATTTTTACTTTGAAAAGTAATTTTTAATTTTAAAAGTACCTGGTATCACTGACTGATGTATTTCCTTTAAGAAAATTTTGGAATCGGAATTGAACCAAAACACTGCAAAATATACAACTGTGTCCCACTTAAGCTGCAATTCAGTCTGAAGTGACTTATGAACACAAATAGACAATTCTTTGGAAGTTGGCCACTGGAATCGGCTTCGGATCATCCTGAATGACAAAAAACTGCAATCTTCAAAACTCGCCCACTCAATTTCCTCCCAAAATCATGTGAACTTCTTAAACGGCTGGAAACGCCGTTTTACAAATCTCTCAGATGAAACACAGCACGAACAAATCGGTGGTTAACTCAACAAAAAAAACTGCCAGATCGCATTTTGAGTAAAAATTCACTTTTCAAATTGAAAAAAAATTCGGCTTGGAAGACTACACCCGCAAGCTATTCCGAATCTCAATTCCAAAACTTGACTGTTTTCTTTGTCTCGGTTTACTCCACACTGCTACTATTTACACATTTTTCCATAACAAAAATGCAATAACGAATTAAAAGAAAATCCGGACTAAACAATGAAACCGACTGACTTTGGCAGCGATTCCACCGAGAGTGACGAAATTAAAAATTTGTTCGCTTAACTTGAAAATCAACGAACTGCTGAAATAGCAAAAACAACGAACGACGTAGATATCCTTTGAAACGCATTTACATGAAAAGAAATCGCCGCAGTAAAATAAACAACAATTAAATGGATTTATTACTCTACGACGTTAGAATGATTGAAAACACTTTTCGAAAGATACGAACTAAAAAAACAGAAAACATTCTTCGTTTTATTAAGACGATTTCATATACGAGGCGACTTTAAATATACTTCAAAGAATCAATCAAATTTAAAATGCTACATTATAACAGTACTATACGCAGTCGAAATACTGTATTTTTCGTGCTTTATAATCAAAAATGCATCTGTTCTTGTTTTCATCATGAACATCAGTGACGGTATAGCTCATTATGAGCCAAAGCTGTCATTACAAGAATCCTTTATTTCTTCCTGTCTTTGGAAACTCTTCTTCATCCTTTAACTTCAATAGAATCTAATCAGTTGCTCCCACCTATCAATTGCTCTCTGCTATAGTATGTTATAGCACTTTTTTCTTTGATAAACCGATCATCTGTAGCCAATTAGCTTATTGTACAGTGGAACCACATACCAGCTTGTACAGGTCTGTAGCTGTTGTTATGAAATAGCCCCATTGTATGAAGAGGTTCCTTGGCTGGCGCATATCCAGTAAGGAAACTGGTTATGATTCTGAGGTGATTATTACCTGTTTTCACTCTACTTCAGTTCTATTAGCACATGTCCATAATATACTCTGTAATATGCATCAGTTAGAGCTGTTGTATTGATCCAAACTTATTTCCGGCTGTGCACGTTTGATCAAGTTTTTGACATTCCTATATTAGAGTCCATCCTAGAGCTTCTAGGAGTCTGCCTCATTCCTCTCGTGGTCAGAATTCAATCACTAATGTATAATGTTAATAATAAATAAAGTGTCCTAATTTGTTTTCTTTTTGTTTCAGAAGAACCTTGCTGCGGAAGCGCAGTGGTTGCAAATGGTGTGATGACGCCCCTAGCTCCATTCCAACGATTTATACCAAAAACTACTTTGGTAATAACATCAGAGGATGTAACAATATCCAGTCAAGTCATAGCTGGAAGAATTGGAGACCTGAAAGTTCAAATACTACCTGATGAGATGAAAGCAAGATTGTCGTGGACGTCGCCAGATATGGGAGGAGATTCAGTTTCACACTACGAAATCAAATATGCTACGTCAGTTCTTGATATTCTCGACAAATTTGAAACGAAAGCTATTAGTTGGGATTTGGGACAACCCTTCCCTCTTTCTCCAGGTTCAGAGACTACTTTTACCCTGGATTTTAACCAAAAGAAAGAGCTCCTTGATCAAACTATCTATTTTGCTGTCAAATCATACTCTAAAACAATTAACAATATATCTGGTCCCATATCTAATTGGGTGAGGATCTTTGTACCTTCTCCTCCTCCGCCTTCAACTGCTGCTCCTCCGTTTTCGTCAAATGAACAATCTATTTGGCCAAATAACGGACATTCTCCCGATATTGACTCTGCTGGACCAAGCATTACTAAAAGTATGCCTGTAGGCTTAGAGCTCATTTTGCCTGTAGTAATTGGTTTAATTCTACTTGTAGTTCTACTAATTCTATACTGTTACTTCTGTGTAGTCAAAAGAAGGAACAGAGGCAACTCAAAATCTTGCAAAGCCAATGCTATTAAAAAGGACAATCTCAACTCCAATATTACTATAATTCCAAGTTCTCCTCAGAACAACTCAAATACATCTACCCAGACATACATAGGGGGCGATATGCCAGATCCTCACCAAATTGGAGTCCCTGTCAATAACTACGCTTACGAAGACGAAACCAAAAAACGTTACTCCTTGGTTAACCAACAAGAACATCAATTAATTGAAGAACTCAAGCAACACCAGCAACAAAGAGAACCTAATTACGAAGGTGTGAGTGTTATTTCCAACAACACAATCAACCGAAACCAAATTTTGAGTCCTTATAACTCGTGGAGTGCCTCCCAGCTGCTACACGAACACGAACGACGACGAAGTCCAATGGACGGCTCTATGGGTAACCCAGAACAAATGATTTCACATCAAGAAGCTATGATGGCTGGCGAACACATGAGTCTCAATGGTCACCAAATGCCAGAACATTACGCCCAAGGTCATATGCCTCCTCCAGTTCCTCCACTACCTGTTTTCAGTGATAACAGATACCCTGGAAACTACGATGTATATGATGTACAGCAAGTGCACCCAATCTACGCTTCTATGCACAGGAGGGAACCTTTTAACCAAAGTTTGCAGGGTTCCCTGAGCTCTGTTAATTCTGGCGAAAAAAAAAGGAGAAACGTGACAATGGTGTAACACCAGGTTATTGTGAAAGACACTATTCAAGTGCACACTTACCAGACTCAAACCACTTACTTATAATGTAAATAGTGTATATATAAAAGTGATAAAACTCTTGTTATCAGATTGAGGGACACATACTGGGTGTTAACTAAAATGAAACTGTTTTATCTTGAACCCAATTAACACAATATGTTTATACTTGTTACCAGACCAGGGTCAGTATTTATTAAAAAGTACCTGAAGTATCTTAATGATATTCATTTAGCTCTTTTTTTGTTTCCAGTTTTTATTTTTTAAACACAATGAAACATTTTAGTATTTTGACTTAATACTATGTTGTATATTATTGTAAATAATTGCTTGGTGTGCTTTTCTAAAATTACTTACCTTGAGCTGGTTTTTGCTAGTCAAGTGCACATTATTCTTAATAATTTTTGTCATATAATGGAGCCAGTACTTAGTAATTATTATAGTCTTCTATGGCATTTTTGTATAGTACAACTTTATTGTTACTTAAGACTGATCTCGCGCAAAAAGAGATAGTTATATATTGATGTCAACTATCTGTTTGTATGTTTTTGTAAATATATGTGAATTTGAATGAAAATATAATTTTTGTATATATTTTAGTGTATAGTTCTTATAGAAATCTTGTAAACGGTGTAATCATTGATTGTTTGTATCATTTCTATTGTCATTTCCTTTGACACACAAAGGTTTATAAAATCTCGTAATAAAGTGTTCAAAATTTAAAATGATCTTGGTTTTATTTCATCACAACCGATCACACACTATTGTTTTGTCGATTAGAGTGACAGTAAAGACTGTAAAGAGCGCTAGCTCCAAGAAAATGGAGCCAATACCGACAACTTAAAAATAGTCAAAGAAGATAATGCGAAACTTCTATTGACCATATTGGGAAGTGGGGAAAAATTCAACATGGCTTGATGGTCGACTGCGGAAATTCTTGACCATATGAAAGAACGAAGAAAACATAGAGCAAAAAACCTAAAAAGATACAAAGAAATTCAGGAAAACAGAAAGAAAACTCGAGAATCAAGAGAGATGGCTCTCCTACAGATACAAGAAAATAGAAGATCTGGATAAAAGGTATGAAAGGTTTTACAAAAGGATGGATCTCAATGCATTAAGAAATTAATTAAGATAACTAAACTAGATCTGCTAAAACAAAACAAAGAAACAATGAAGAAATCTTGAATGACTCCAAAAATCCTTCACTTAATGGAACGCAGAAGGTTAATTAAAGGAAATAAAGATGAGTATAAAAAAATGCAGGCTTACATCAGAAGAAAAATAAGAGAAGCTAAAGAAAAAGAAGCTGTAGAGAAATGTACAGAAATAGAAAGACTACAAGCCAAGCATGACAATTTTAATGTACACAAAAAGGTCAAAGAAATAACGGGTACTTTTAAAAAGCGAACACAAATGAAACTCATAGACACCAATGGAAAATTAATCATTGACACTCAAGAGATGAAAGACAAATGGAGATTATATTTGGAGACACTTTTTCAAGATCAAAGAACGGATTATAGGCATCCATTTTCAGAGAGGATGACGGGCCCGGACATACTTAAATCCGAGGTAGAAGAAGCAATAAAACGGATGAAAAGCAGGAAAGCTGTCGGGCCTGATAATATCAAAGCTGAATTTTTAAAACTCTTGGAGGAAGAAGGAATAATTTGGATCACGGCTGTCTTCAATAAAATATACAATACAGGAATCATCCCTGATAAATGGCTAGAATCAGAATTCATAGCGATACCTAAAAAACGGGGGGCTAAAAAGTGCGAAGATTATCGAACAATCAGCCTAATGAGCCATATGTTGAAACTGTTTCTTAGAGTCATCCATGGAAGAATTTATAAGAAGTGCGAGGAACAAATATCGGACAGACAGTTCGGCTTCATTAACGCAGTGGGTACCAGAGAGGCACTTTTCGGAGTACAGGTACTGATTCAAAGATGCAGGGACGTTAACTGCGACGTATACGCGTGCTTGATCGACTATGAAAAGGCATTCGACAGAGTTCAACATCAAAAGGTGATAAACATTTTAAAAGAGGCAGACCTGGATGACAAAGACCTCAGAATAATTTCAAAACTCTACTGGAATCAGACCGCATACATGAAAATTAATGGAGAAGAAACAGATCACATAAAAATACTACGTGGAGTTAGACAGGGATGTATCCTATCGCCGTTGATATTTAATATGTACTCAGAGAAAATTTTTAACGAGGCTCTTTACGGAATAGACGAAGGCATTCTTCTAAATGGTGAAAGAGTAAACAATGTTAGATATGCCGACGACACCATGGTGATAGCAGATAGTTTAGAGGGACTTCAGAGGCTAATGGACAGAATAAACGAGTACGGTCAACAGTACGGACTAAACATTAATAACCACAAAACGAAACAAATGATTATCAGCAAGGAAAATATAAACGGGGCTCATCTAAACATTAATGGGACGCAGATAGAGCGAGTAAAACAGTATTGTTACCTGGGAACTATTATTAACGAACAGTGGAGCAATTTACAGGAAATAAAGTGCCGCATAGGAAAGGCAAGAACGGTCTTTAACAAAATGAGCGCCATCTTCAAAAGTCACAACATATCCCTTGATACAAAAATGAGACATTTGAGATGCTATGTTTTCTCTGTGTTGTTGTACGGGGCGGAGGCATGGACGCTTACAGACACCACTAATAAAAAACTTGAAGCATTTGAGAAGTTCTAGGAAAAATGAAGAAGGAACCAGAGATTGTGTTTACGATCAAACGCATAAAATTGCAATATCTGGGACACGTTATGAGAAATCAGCACCGTTACTCCCTGCTACAGTCTATATTGCAAGGTAAAGTCAAAGGTAAGCGAGGACCCGGTAGAAGGAGAATATCATGGCTGCGGAATTTAATAACATGGTTTAAGAAAACCTCAACGGAACTGTTTCGAGCCGCAGCGAGCAAGGTTATGATTGCCAATATGATTTCCAACATCCGAAACGGATAGGAACCAGAAGAAGAAGAAGAAGGATCTCAATGAAACTTTTTGAATTCGATTCGTATGTCAGGAAATTTTGTAAACAAAAATGATGATATAGAAATGAAAATTTCATTATTGAACAACGAAAATGCATTTTGCAAAAGTGCATTTCTAAGTGATGTAAAATCATAAATTTGTAAGTCGGAAAAAGGTTATGGAAATAAGTTGAATATTACTATTCGTGGGTTTTTGTGGTCACTAAACATGAATATCATAACAGAGATATTCTCAGAGGCATCTGGTGCAATAGGATCTTATCTTCTGGAGTTTTTTTTTTGGAAATTTGATACAAAATCAGTGCAAACTCATCACTCCGGAATTTTTGAGGTCACTGAACACTAATATCGTCTCGGCGATAGTGTAAGAGGCACCTGGTGTCAAGGATGGAACTTGTCTCATAGAGTTTTATGGAAATTCAGTACAAAATCAGTGCTAACTCGTTATTTGGTGGTTTTTGGGATTGCTGAACACTCATATGATGCCGGCGATGATGTGCGAGGCACCTGGTACACACAATGGCCTCATATTCTAGAGTATTATGTAAGTTTGGGATAAAATGAGTGCAAACTCGCTACTCGGTGGTTTTTGGGATCGCTGGGCACTAATATCAAGTCGGCGATGATGTCCGAGGCACCTTGTACTCAGGAGAGTGCCGGTCTATTGGTGTTTGTGCATCGGAGACCATCACCGTGATATATTCGTGATCAGCGACCCCAAAATTCCCGAGTAAATAATTTAGAACTAATTGTTTTATTTCCACAAAGGTCTAGGGTACCTACGAGCCCATGGTATTCGTGATGAGCGACTCCAAAAACACTCGAGTAACGAATGTGCACTGTTTTTGTATCGAATTCTTATAAAACTAAAGGAAAAAACGGTTCGTTGTGGCACAAAGTACCTCAAAGACCATTGCCGACGTAATATTTTGGTTCTGTGACCCCAAGAATCCATCGAGTAACGAGTTTGCACTGATTTCGTATCGAATTTCCGTAAAACTTTAGAAGACAAGGCCCATCCTTGGCACAAGGTTTGTGCCAAAAATTTTTTATCGAAGTAACGGGACCCAGGTAGGTACACTAGGCACCTCGAAGACCATCGCTAAATTACAAATTGCCATTTACAAAATGTATAAATTTTTAAATAATTGATGAATTCGACCGTTACTTTATGGAAATTCATTTTATGTAACAATAAAACACTGAAAACTTTGTTTTCAAACTTCCACAAAATTTATTTTAAATCTTATCACTACAACTGTTTCGGCTGATTGCCTATCGAAAACAGTATAATTGCCAAATCTATTCAGATGTAGTGAAACTAGGAATTCCTGTTACAAAGAGAATAAAACAGTAATTTCAATTAAAAATAGATCAATAGAAAACAACATTGTGTTTACAAAAGCAGACAAAGGTAACACTACTATTGCTATAGATAAACTAGAATATAATAACAAAACAATAGAATTCTTAAATAATCAAAATATTGAAACTTTACACAAAGATCCGACAGGCAAATATCAAAAATAAATTAAGCTAGCGTTAGAAAATTCAAAATCAATACTAAATTCAATAGAACAGAAATACCTCAATGTCATGAACCCACAGCCTCCTAAATTATACTCTTTCATTAAACTACACAAACCGGATCACCCAAGAAGACCTGTAGTTTCTTTTTATACAGCTCCGTCATATAAACTTTCAAGAAAACTGTTACAGATTATTTCAGAACACACTAAATTTTCACCTAAATTTACCATAAAAAATACAATAGAACTAGTTAATAAAATACAACATTTTCAATTACCTAACAACTCCAGATTAATTTCATTTGACGTAAAAAATCTTTTTCCTAGTATCCCTCCTACAGAAACGTTTATTCTAGTAAAAAACCTTTTAGACCAAAATAGTACAAATCCAATAATTACATCTGAAATTTTACATCTTAAAGTTTGTATAAACCAGGACTACTTTGAATTTAATAATAAAATATATACAAATAACAGTGCAGGACTGATAATGGGTAATCCTTTAAGCCCATTGCTATCAGATATTTTTATGGATCATCTAGAGACAAAGATTTCAAACCATCCCGTATTCAAACAGTTTTTATATTGGTGGAGATACGTAGACGACGTACTGGTATGTTTCACAGGAACTAACAGGCAACTCGACCAATTTTTATCGTATATTAATTCACTTCATAGTCATATTGAATTTACAATAGAAACAGAACAAAATCAATCCATAAATTTTTTAGATTTAACAATTAGCAGACTTCAAAACAAACATGACTTCTCCATATTTCATAAACCTACCCATACTGACACGATTATACACAATTCATCATCCCATCCAACACAACATAAACTGGCAGCTTATCATAGTATGTTACATAGATTAACAGAAATTCCGATGTCAAAATACAACTTTGAGACAGAATTAAATATAATTAAGCAAATAGCAGTAAACAACGGATACAACGAACAAACAATTAATAAAATGTTAAATCAAAAACTACACAAGAAAGCCCTAAAATTAGTATTTTCACCACCAGAGAAAAAACCCAGTACCTTCTGCTCGATTACATATACAGGCAAAATAACAACAAAAATTGCCAAACATATAAAAAAGAAAGGAATAACCCCAGCTTTCCTAGGCAAATCTATTAACAAAGCCAATAAGCAAA